GTCCGTGCAGAGTTGTGAGATGTTCTTCCTTGCCAGAGGGTTCTTTCCACTGTAGTTTAATATTACAACTTCTGTAACTTTGATTTACATTAATTAATTTTTTAAGTGGGGGGCTAACATAGTTGAAAGGAAAAGCATGTACACCTGGCATACACTCTTAGGAACCTGTGTGATCACATACGTGCCATCGAATGCCACACAGAAGAGCCAGGCCATAAGCTTCCCACCACTACAGCTGGTGACTTCTGCTGCGACTGTATGAATACCTGTCACATTTACAGCCCAGGCGCTAGTTCCTTACCATGAACATTTCATCTGGGTATGGCCTAGCCCTATGGAATATCTCACCATAGCTGAGGGATGCAGGTACTTGGATAAGATATTCATTAATGTGGCTTGTGTCTAGAGTTCTCCCTGAAGCCTCATATGCTAATAGGTGGGCCTTTTTGGAAGTGGCTGGATGTAGAATGCATGAAGATGAACTAATGGTGTTTGATAACTAAATCAGTTCCGGGTGTGGATCCTGGGTGGGGAGGTGGCACCAGCAGAAAAGCTCGTAGCTTGAATGGAATAAGAAGGAAAGGGAGCTACTGCTTCACTGCTTCCTGTCTGCCCTGCCAGGGACTGTTTCTCCTCTGCTGCTGCCTTGCCTTGGAGCCAGCCATCTATGGACTGAAAGCTCTACACAGTGTGAATTAAAATAAACCTTTCTTCCTTTAACTTGTAAGTGTTGAGTATTTTGTCCCAGCAACGAGGAAATAACTAAAGCACTCATTATCCAAGGAGAAATGTAAAGTCTCAAAACTAAAGAACTTTTCAGGTCATTCAGACTCTCTAGAACACAGCTAAGTTTAAAAAATCTCATCTTTCTTACTCATAAAATGGGAATAAGTATTGTATATACCAACTTCATAGGGTCATTGTAAGAAGCAGTTGAGCTAAATAAATTAGAACAGTCTCGGGCTCCAATACTGTTAGTAATTCTTATACTTTGAGCTCAAGTTAGTAACATACCCAAGACCATGCACATGGCCTTCATTGGCTGCTGAGCAAAATGCTAGAAATTGGGTGCACCTCATCTCCAACAAGGGCAGGCTGCTCTCACAGCGGGAATGTTTCCTCCAACTCTCAGTGGATGATTCCATTTCTAACAACAACAACAAGACAAAAGAGATGTGATAGATTATCTAACTTTACATGTCATGAAGAAAATGGACCTCCTGTGTCTGATTGTCACTTGAAAGGAGAACAAGCAAATGGGTTCAAGGTTGCAGGGGAAGAGAACATTTGGGAGGAATCTGTAGCTTTATTACATTTGGCTTGTTTCCACTGACCGCCCCTCTCCTAGGGAAGAAATGTGCTTACATACTTAGAATAGGGTTAATATTTTCAGTGTGATGATGCATACTGTCTGTCCCAGTGCTGAGCTCTGCCATTGGAGAACACACAGGCATCGACAGTCTAAATGCATCACTTTGGCTCTGCTCCACACAAGCTTTATTTATGGACACTGAAATTTGAATTTCATATATCACAAAATATTATTCTGATTTTTCCCCAGATGCTTAAAAATGTAAAAACTATTCATAGCTCGGATAGGGTACAGATACAGGCAGCAGGATCGAAAGCCAAAGTTTGCTAGCCCTGATTTTGCACACTTAACTGAGTCAGGCTTTTGAAGCTAGCTGATTAGTCTGAACAGTTTCTCTGACCTCTCTGAGCCTCAGTTTGCTAATGCCGTAGAGAAACAAGAGACTTTTCCTAACAATTCTCAGGTTCCTTGCAGCTCTAAAAGGCCAAGGTTCCTTGCAGCATGGTTGTTCTATGATTTTATCATCACACAAACCTGGGACTCTTGTCCTGGCCCAGCCTCTGGGACTGTTAAGCAGCCTCCCACTGCTTCAGCTCACTTATTTGCAAAATGAAGATTAGATAATGTCAACTTTTAAGATTGCTCTGCGAGTTTTTTAACTCATGCATCCAACAAACATTTTTTAGACCTAATATGCACTCAGGATTGCTATTACTTTTTGTTATTTTTCTTAACCAAAAACAAGAAAAACTGAGCCAGACGTGGTGATGCACACCTGTCATCCCAGCACTCTGGGAGGATGAGGCAGGAGGATCGATCACAAGTTCAAGCCTAGCCGGGGCAAGATAGCAAGACCATCTCAACAACAGTTAAAACAAATAGAAAGAAAAAAACAAAAAACAAAAACGGAATTCTGATTAAAATGATAATTCAAAAAAAGACAGTTTCGGGGCTGGGGATTTAGCTCAGCGTTTCTGTAGCCTGCCTTGCAAGCGCAAGGACCCGAGTTCAATCCCCGGTACCAAAGAAAACCAAAAAACAGAAGACAGTTTCTGTGTACTTCCAAACTAGAGAATTTTTTTCACTGCTCAGTGATTAAAAAGGCTGGCTTAAGCGGGTGGGGTTGGGGACCAAAAATCCTGTCATCTGTGTTCACATCAGTTATCTTCTTTTACCTATGATTAAAGCAAAGAACAGATTTTGATGAATTAACTTAGCGTGTCTAGTTACAGCTCTCTTACTCCACCCTGTGGCAAAAAGTTTTTAGATTTTTTAATCATTATTATTTTTCATAATGTCCTCTAGCAGCAGCACAAGGTATCGTTTTAGACTCATCTCCCTCGATTGTCTGTGTCACCATTTTCAAGACCTGCAGTGGGTAGATAACCATTTAGCTGAGTGGCTCTAAGAAGTGCCAGAAGCTGGAGCAGCATGCGTCGATCAGTTATCTGTACAGGTGGTTATTAAAAGTGTTGTCCCGCCGCCTCATTAAAAAGCAATGCAGCATTTAATAAATATTAGAGCATGTCAGTAGCACCATTTAAATGGAGGAAAGAGATCAATTTCTTTTGTAATTGTGTGCACAGGCATAAACACTCTCTTTGGAACACTTAATTCTGTGTCAGAGTTTAAAGCAGCTTGATAGTTTCTATTCAGAAATAAAATCAGAGAAAGAGATGGGGAATAGACGTCAGCCACTGGGTGAGTCAAGAAGAAACTAACCTCAGACACTTAGCTGATAACAGAAGGAATCCACCAGCTAGCAAGCATTCGTGCAAGACTTCCTTTTCTTTTCAGTAATATGGTTTCAATGGCTGATCCTTTTGTTCCTGCCTCTTTTCCACACTGTCCCTTCCAATTACCCCTTCAAAAGGAAGAGGAAGCAGATGGTAATTCGTGGCAGGGTAAGGTCAGTGGGCAGCACAGCCAAGCTGTGGGCAGAGCCATCCCACGTAAGGAGCATCCAGGTAGGAAGCACACGGAAGACAGGGTGACAGGGTCAAGGGAGCAGGTGGGACGCAGGGACTTCCCAGCCTCACTCTGTTCCTTCACCCCGTCTGTGTGACTTTTGCCTCTTTGTGTTACTGTCTGTAGCTCTGGCTTATTCCCCGGGACTCTTCCTCCTGTTTCTGGTTGGGCTCCTTCCCCTCCCCTTTCTCTCTTCCAAACTGCCCTCCTCCTTCTCTTCCCCTCTTTTTTGTTCTCCTCTCCTCTCCTTTCTCTTCCTTTGTTCCTTTCTCCCATTCTCTTTTCCTCTCCTTCCACCGTTCTTCCACTCTTTCTCCACTTATCTTTTCTCTCCAGATCCTAAGCTTTCCTCTCCTTCCTGGCATTACTTTTTTTATTTTGTCTTGTTCTATCTTCCTCATATCTTTTCCTCCCTCTGTCTATGTCTCTCTCTCTCCCTCTTTCCCTCCCCCCTCCCTCTCTCTCTCCTGCCACTTATTTTTCTTGCCATCTCCCTTACCTTGCTCTGCCTACCCGCTCTCCACTTCTTCATGGCCTTTGTTTCTTTGTTTCTGGATCTCTCTCTCTCTCTCTCTCTCTCTCTCTCTCTCTCTCTCTCTCTCTCTCCCCTGTGTGACGGATTTCTCTCTGGTCATCGCACCTCTATTTATGACCCATTTCTCATCATAGCCCTATTCCTCGGCTTTATATTTCAGTGTTAGAATCACTTCACATATTGCTTCATTCTGAACATGCTAGTATATGCTTAGTAATTAAAGCTGTAATTAAAGAGTAAGAGCAAGTATAATTAAAATGCATTTTAGTGGATCCTGGAATGATGAAGCAATTAGGCGTTTTGACACGGCACTGAAGGAGCAGCTGGTGGGGAACGGATGTGTTTTTCTAGGGAGCTGCTGCTCTCCCTCTTTCCCTGACCTGGCCCACAGGCCCTAACTGGAGTGAGGCCTCTCAGGCCTGCAACACAGGCAGCTGCAGCGCAGGAGGAGTGGCAGCAGCTGGAGTCCTCACTTGAGCACCAGAGCATAGCCAACTACTCCAGGGCCTTCTAGAGACAGAGGCCAGGATCCAAGCCCCTGGAGATCCCTCCCAAACAGTCCATCCTCATGTCATCTCAGGCATTTCCAGTTTGTGTCGACCCTATCAGGAAAGATTTTGAGGGGGCACGGTTGGGCCATCAAGTGATCAGGATACACAGCTCCTCCTTGGGCACACTTCATATGTGAACCTGTAGTTAGTCTGTAGCACATACGGAGAATGCAACAGGTATGACAAGACATCCCACTGGCCATGCCCACACTCAAATGGATGTGTCATCCTCATTTTTCCCAAAAGACTTTTTCTTTCTATACTCAGAGCTCTGAGATAAGGCCGTTTCAGAAGACTTTCCTCCTTCAAACTCACTGAAGAAGTGATTGTTAAGCTTTCTTTGTATATACTGTAATCTTGAAGCTCATCTTCATTTTTTAAGTGCCAAAGAAATACAGGCAATGTCTTTATAAAACTAGATAATTGAAGTGGGGGAAAAAAAGAAAAAATTAATTTGTCACCAAAGTATATGTAAATGGCCAGATCTGGATCATAAACAGCTGAAACTGTACAGTAATTAAGTTGTTAATGTCAGGTAAGACCCAGGTAGCCAGTCATTTCAGGTCTTAGGAAACTGACAGACCAACCACAACCTGCTGCTTCATCCAGTGACTGTCCATCATCCCCCTTTCAGGAACCAATGTCCAAGAGGCACGGAACATACTCAGCAACAGTGGACTCCCCATCACTGCGGCTGTGGACTTGGAGGACGCGGCCAAGAAGGCTGTCGCCTGTGTGGCAAAGAAGTGATGTCTTTTGCCTGGTCCCAGGGCTGTTTTCCCAATGGCTCCCTCACTGTGGGGGAAAAAAAAATGGTTCTCTCACTGGGAGAAAGGGGAGGGCATAAACAAGAATCACTGTGAAAATCTTAGATCTGTGTCTTCTCGGGTAAGTTATCTAAACAACCTAGTCTGATTTTACTTATATAGTCATTATAAAAATAATGTTCTCTATTTGCAAGCTTCATCCAGCTTTGGGGAAATGATGTCTCTGGCCAAATAACGTGCATATATACAGAAATTTAATTAAGGCAATCCTTGGTTCATTGAGAAGAATGTTGGTGAATATTTAATCCTCTATGGTTAAAAAAAAAAAAGTACCATAAAAACCTCAAGTAGGATTCCATTTAACATATTAACTCTCAAAGGGGCAAAGCTCAGACATTCAAGCAAATAATTATTACACACTGTAGCAGTTTTATAAGTTTCTAATTCCAACACATCTTCAGAAAATTTTATATTCTAAAATATATTTTACAGTGGAAGTTTTACATTAATATACTATACACATATTTTACCATTTGCCTTAACATTGAATATTGTTTACCTCATACTAAAAGGGCAGCCAGAAGCCTTATCTGTGACTTCATGGTAGAAGTCTTCATTTTAAGTTAAGTACTGATGAATGCTGATTATTATGGACATCTCTGTGATGAAGCCATTTCAAAATGGGACAACTCTGAGAAGACTGAATTGTGTTGAGCGTGTCATCTCTCCTTATTGACCTTCACCTCCAGCATCTACCACCTTGTGGTAGAAAAAGTAGCTTTGATGGGAATGTGCCTTTTTCTCATAATGTCCATTTTGTGGTGGAAATTTTTTAATTAGGTTTAAATTAATTAGATTAAATTTTGGTAAAATTTTAATCTTTATGCAAATTTGAATAAAATCCCATGTTTTATAAGCACTATAATATATGTGTGTTTTCCTTTTAGTCAATTTTATTCCTCAGACCTTTTTTTTTTTTTTTTTTTTTTTTAATAAAATACTAGACTAGGGCCAGGGATTTCACTCAGTGGTGCTGCTACCTGCCTTGAAAGCACAAGGTCCTGAGTTCAATCCCTGGAACAAAAATAAATAAGTAAGTAAATAAAGTAAAATAAAATACTAGACTTAGTACCTTAGGGATAGCTCTAAAATTAGAAAATCTCCATTGACCCAGGACTTTCCCACCTCCATTAACCTTTATCAGATAAGCATTTCTGTGGTAGAAGATGGTTCAGTGAAGTAATGAAAATTACCTACGGAACAGATGCCCAGGCAAGTGTGTCAGATGTCTGGCAGGGGAAAGTGTGCTCTCTGCACCATCCTAAGGCAACAACCGGACCTCACTCTGTCTACTTAGAGGCTCACTTGCCACCATCAACAGTTTTCTTCCAATGCACAAATGAATAGCTAACCATGCTGTTTTGTTTGCCTTTTACTGTCTTACATTGTTCTTCTAAGTTTTATGTATGAGAAATTTTTAAAAGTCACTTTATAAATCCCTGTTTCCATGGAGAAATAAACCATTGAGTAGATCAGTTGAATACCCTTTTTTAACGATGATGGGATGAATGAAATTAATAGTGTCTTTTAAAGTATAGTTTACTTTTTGATACCTTAATAACTCGTTAGTATGATGAAAAGAAGTAAACATGCATTTAGTCAATTTTCTAACAATCAACATATTTGAGTGTTTGCTCTTTACAAATGGCCTGTGTTTGAATTCCTTGTAAATATTGATGTTTCTAATCAACCAGGTTGGAGGAGGGGGGATAAAGGAATTAAGTCATTCGTGTAATTATTCTGTAAAAGAGTTAATAACAGGCAAATAACTTTTATTTTCAAAAAATAATTTGTCAAAATTACGCTTTGAACATTTTTTAACAGGAGCTCCAACTTTGTGTATTTTTGTTGCTCGAATGGTATCCCTGATACACAGTGCGTGTTCTATAGGTATTTGTAGAATGAGTTACTGGATAGTGTGCGCTTATGCTCATTGACCCTGCTATACTGGTGACAGAGTAGAATCGGGTGCAGATCGTGTTGGGAGCGTGTCTTAGTCACGTTCTTATGTGGACAAAATACCCAGCATCCAACACCTTAACGGGGGAGAGGTTTACATGGGCTCAAGGCAGAACAGCATGCTGAAATGGCCTGGTCATGGGAAAGCAGCTCGTGGCCTGGTAGCCAAGAAGGAGAGCACAGTTCTAGGTCTTGCTCCCAGTGACCTGCCTCTTCCAGCCAGGCCCTCCACTGTGTGTTAATCTATTGATGAGTACAGTGCCCCCAAGATTCCATCACCTTTCAGAATTTCTGCTTTTGAGTTCAGGAGAGCTTTGGAGGATGCTCCAGATTAAAACCATAGTAGGGGTAGCCTGTCTATGCATTACCCTGCTCTGTTGTGCTCCTGTTTCAGACCTAGCATTGGCTTCAAGTGTACAGGTGTCACAGCTGCATTGTATAAAAATATGAGTCCTTTAAATCTGGTCAGTATTCTTTGAACTTGACCCTTCCTAAGGCAAGGATGTCTATGAAAAGAGGTAGTCACCAGCCTACTGCTACCAACACAAACTACACCCAGTTTTACTCTGTGCCATTGACATAGCATGGTACACATGCGTAATCCATTGTGCAAATACCTGCACGTTGTGAACTGTGCAATCTAAGCATGAAACTCATTGTCCACGTAGCTTACAGAAGAGTGTCCATTCTACCTGAACTGCTTTGTAGGCAGAGTTTTAACTCACTAGCTGGCCTACCACAGACTGCCACAGTCTCAACAGAACAAGTATCAGACTTAGAAATTTAGTCCTGACCCTACTACTTACCAATGATTATTTCTTTGAGTTATTAACTATGGTATTTGTCTACACTTTTGGTTGTGACAAAAACCCAACTTCCACTTGGAAAAAGGTGAGACCTGTTTTACACTTGAGATTATAAAAGAGGTTTGTGGTCACAGGTAAGGCTGGATTTAGAGACTCAAAGTACCTATCAGCCCAACTCATCCCTGTGGATTTCATTCTCTAGGTAGAACACTTCTGCAAGGAGGTAGAAGGGGTATGGGCCATCTCAGGCACACATCTTCAAGTTTAGCATCCACAGAAGAGAGAAGGAAAGATTAAATGAAAGAGAAAGTGAGGATGGAAGGAAGGAAGCTTCTCTCCCTTGGTAATTCTAAGAAACATACTAGAATTCAGTATTGATGGCTCTAAGAGCCAGTTTTGGGTTGAGAACCTATGCCCGAGACCAATTATGAACAAGAAGCTACAGTGTTTGGGGTCCAACCTGGGTTAACCACCATCTACTTGCCTGGATGGGAGGCCCCACCTTAGCTACTGAGACTGACAGCAAAGAAAAGGCAGAGGCTACCTGAGGAAAACTGCAACCCAAACATGAATAAATGGCCATGTACTTGGGGAAAAAAATGAGGGGTGTCAACCACAAGCATCAACTAAAGGTGCTTGCCGTTCTAAAATCTAAGGATTCTATTGTACTACATTCTCATTAATTCTTTGGGGTCCATTTTTCCCTCATGTTTGAGTGTGCAGAGGCTCCTGAAGTTTAAGTATTTATATCTTGAACCCATGTAAGAAATAATGGCACAGAGGCACCTTGTTTTAATACTGTTTCCCACTTATGTTGCAGTCCAATTCCTAAATTGGTAAAATATCAAAAAAACTTTGAATAACCTAATTAGCTCTGTGAATTGGTTTTAATTAGTTCTTTTAGAATTTGTATTTATGTCGATTTCTCAGTTTGCTCTCTGAGGAAAAAAAAAAATCATCCTGAAAAAATATATTTGTTTTTAAAATTGAAAGGCGTAACAAAAATAAGAAAGTATTTTTGACTTTTCTAAAGTAAACATTTAAAGCCATAATGTGAAACTCTGTGAGATACGATGTGTCCAAAAGTAAAATAAGTGAAAAAATGTAATGGTGCCAAAAAAAAAAAAATAGGGTATATTTTCTTCTAGATATGAAGGAGTCAAACAAAGGCATAATGGTTCATTTTTAGTAAATCAGATTTAACTAGAATACAGCGACACCATTTATGGTTGGATTAGAGACCTCATGACTCTGAAATATTGCCCTTTGTCCTTTTGACCCACCCTTGCTCTGGATAAATTTTTAAAAATACATCATTGCCCCCAAATGACAGCAACAGATTGTTTCCAAGTGTAGCAAGGCAGATGTAGGTATTAAAGTGAAAGTGAAATGGAAAAAAAAAAGAGGTTGGAAATATGACTTTTGATCCTTCAATTTTAAGCCCCATGAAATCTTAGGAGTCTCGAAGGGCCATTCGCCAATAAAACGTATCCAGCTATGTAAATCTGTGTCTTTCCCCAAAAAACTGCTGCTTGTTACGCTTTGTGTTAGGGAATTGATAATGTCAAAGTATTTTGTGACACTGCCATTTTGGGCTGGACTTCCTGGTTCTTCTACCCTCAGACCTGTGTTAAATTTCCTTTTCCCCAAGATCACATCAGCAAATAGAACTGAAACTTAGAGCTTCTGCAAGGCGCGAATTTCAAAGTGCAACATGGGTTGTGGTAGGAAAAGAATAGCCTGTCCCACCCTAATAGGGAAGTCATTGGCTCTCAGCCCTAATAAATGAGCCGACACTTTCTCTCTGTCTCTCTCTGTCTCTCTGTCTCTCTCTCTCTCTTTCTCTCTCTCTCTGTCTCTCTCTGTTCTGCTCTCCTGAATAAAATCTCCAGTCGGACCTCTCGTGTGTGTGGCCTAGATGTTGAGCGGCACTGTTCCCTTTCACTTTGAATATATGCTGTCCTTAACTATGTTTAGGGTATTGGAATAATAGCCAGTCCTGGGTATGTATCAAGTCATCCTCAAAGTGGTTCTTATTAGTGACTATGTTGTGTATTTAGTGAGTCTCGTGGTCCTGAAAAGATAAATACAGAAAAACAAGACTTTGGCCTGTGATCCCCTGCAACATCACTGCAAAGCTGTTCCAATTAACTAGTGAGGAAATTATGGCATGGTGAAATAAATGTGCTCCAGCCAAATTTCATAGTTGCTGGCAATATTTTAGAGATGTGGACTTCTGATCCGAACGTAAGTTTATCTCTTCATCTGTTGTCCAGGAGAACATTCTGTGTTGACAGGAGTGGTAAATATCAGCCCTATCCAATATCTGCTACTTAGTCACATGTGATTGTTGAGTATTAAAAACTAAATTTTAAGGTCTGCTTAAGTTAATTAATAGCCACATGTGGGGGTGGTTACTATACTGGCCAGTGCAGTTTTATAGTCTAAATCTAATGGTATGTGGTACTTTGACTTCAACATAACGCAGATTGCTTAAGAAACCT